GAATAGGTTACTGTTTTTAACGTTTGACGGAAATACCACACAGTGGATTAATTTTTTATATAAAAATATCATCTAAACTAATTTGTATTATTTCGAGCAACTGTTTTATGTGTTTTCGATATTTTTTCGTACATAATTAATATAAATTATTTGAGTAATCGAAATATATCCGAATGGCTCACATTAACTCTATATGTCATTAATATTACTGCTTCCAGCGCTAATTAAAATCTAATACGCTTTTGTCTCCAACTACGTGTGCAGTTCACGACCCATATTGAAGTTGTTCCTGCATAAATAAATTGCTTCGCAGGCCATTATAGAAAAAAGAGCAACCATAGGAAGAAAAATGGGAAAACTAGAAGCAGAAATAATAATAATAATAAACCAGAACCACCGATAACAACGTGAACACTGCAGGGCAGGCTTAATTAATCCATTACCGCGCATTGATACGAAGCAGTTAGAAGCGTCGTCATGACAATGTAAAGATGGCGCTGCTTGACAGTATCACACCGCATTGTCATTGCTGTCGCTAATGGCACAAAATTTACTCCACACCCCACTTCACTACAATTCTTTTTCATTTTAGTTAAAAATTTGTGTTGATAAAAAGTCACCGATAAAAACAAAAGCAACAAGAGACAAAACAGCACTCGCACACACATACAAACACACATACACTCCCTTGGGGTTTCTGGGTTAAGCATTGACTTTTGAATTGATGATGTGCTGTGGTGCACTTTGACAAAAAGTGCCTTGAGTGAATGTTTGACAGCTAATTTAGTTCTAAAAATGAAAATGCATTTCGCTGTTTGCCAGATAAACAATTATGCCAACAAACCAACATACACACACACATACACACAAACTCACCCACACGCACGAACACAGGCTACTCTACTTTTTGTATATGTTGCTTTCTATTCTATGGCAAAACAACAAAAAAAACTCAAAATTAAAATAACTTAAATCAAATTCCATTCTATGAATTCATCATTTCGTGCACCACCCAAACCTCTCCACTGCAACAAAAGCAAAATAAAAACCAAAAAAAAAAACAAAAATACAAGAAGACAAGAACACAATGAAGAGTGAATGATGTTTTGTATGGGAAATTAACACGACACACGTTTTGCTGTTTAATGTTGTTTTCCTTGCTCATTGTTTAACCATTGTTGTTGTTGTTATTATTGTTGTTGTTGTTCTTGTCTTGTTGCCTTTTGGTTCTAACATTTTCATAATGTAAGTGAATGGCTTGAATGACACAAACGTTGCATTTATGTTTCGTTTGTCGCCTGTCAATCGTGCGTCAATTTTATTCAATAGTCTTGTGTTCTTCGTGTAAAAACTTTTCACAGTCTTCTATGCATTAAATGAAGCCTAAAGTGTTACTTAATTCCACTGTTATTGTGGTTGTTGTTGTTATTGCTATTGTTGTTGTTGTTGTTGTGACGAATATGCTTATCAAAACGTTTTATTGACTTCTTCTTAGGAATACTACAAATCTATTCAACATGCACTTATGGTACGAATGCGTTCCGTTCTTACCCTTCTCAGCTTTCACATACGTTTAGCTTAGCAATTAGCTGTTCCATAAACTGCGATCCATTGAGGCCCTCCTCATGGCGCTTCATTTTCAACGTTCATAAAAACTGAATTTTAAATTGAAAAGCGTAAATTTATTTTAAATTTTATTGCTCCTGGCCTGAGATGCATTCAGATAAAGTTATAATCGATACTGAAACCTAGATATGTTACTGAAATTGTTTTCTAGTGCTTGTACCTCACTTCAATAATTTAAAAATTAAAAACCGTAACAGACAAACATTTGTCTTTTATTTTCTTACATATAAAATACATTAGTTATGTTATATTGAAATTAAATAACATTTTGATAAAATCGTAGAAGAGAATGGTAGACAATGCAAGATAAAGATCATAGAGAACGAGGTACAAATTGCAGCAGAATTGCGACTCAAACTGGATTATCTCACAGAGTTCTTACAACTGTGTGTCAATTAGAGAAAATTGTCATACATATTTATATAAACGTAAGTACTATAAGCCTGTATATATAAGAAATATATATTAAAATATTATATGGTCTTAAATATCGTTCTTCTTGTGATGACATCTCCGAAAGTTAACATACTAAGAAATTTCATTCCAAATGTTCAATTTTCTACCGCATTCTTATTCTTTGACGTAGGTTGAATAAACCGCCTCTTCGGAATGAATGGATAAGAATATTGTCATCAAAGACCGAGAGGGCAGTATGTGAAAGTTTATTCCGGAAATAAGAGGAGATAGTTAGAAGATTTAGTACTTAAAAATCTAAGATTACCTTGCCAGAAAACATGATCGTGCTATAAGGGAAAGACGGTTGGGGTGGGAGTATTACGCAAGCACAAGCGGTAAATTTTCTATCACTTCTCCAATTAATTAAGTGAATTTCTTAAGAATAGTGCAGCATTAACAGAGATTGTCACTAAAACCGGCGCCAGGTACAAGTCCGTTTTTAGACAACGTGTTGTTATCAAATGCTTCGTTCAATATATCAATGGTTACCAAAGAAATACAATATATGGCACTATATTCAAATCAAGAAACTTTAAAACAATATTTAATTATTTGAATATAAGAAAATGTTTAACATAGCTGGATATTAGA